GCCGCGGGGCGGCTGGGCCCGTGGGCCATGGCCGCTGAGCCTGCGCGTCCGGAGCCTGTGCTCCGCAACGGGAGAGGCCACAGCAGTGAGAGGCCCGCGTACTGGAAAAAAAAAAAAAAAAAAAGTAGGATTACCTGTTCTGGAACTTGCTTTTTGTTCTTTTAAGACTTGATTTACTTCCCTGGTCATGTCTCCTGATTACATGGCAGCACTGTGGTCAAGCATGACCGGGTGGCACGGGAGGGAGTATAGTTTGGGTAAAAGGGGTATATGAAATAAAACATGGACTTTTAAAAATAGCCTGCAGATTTTATAGGACTACAAATGTATGAGAACCTTAGTCACTCAAAGTTACCAATGGTTATTGGATATGAGATACTTATAATATGTACTAAGATATTTTAAAAAATCCACTCTGATTTTTTTGGGTTCTAGTTTTCACTTTTCCTATTGGGATGGCTATTTAAAGATGTACCCAAGCACAGTTCAAACAAACAGGATATTTCAGTTCAGTGGTTTCTTGGATCCTACCTAAAATCCAAGGAAAGTGAGAGGTGCTGAAAGCAGGTTTATAGTTTTGTTTTGAAGAGAAGGCAGTCAGCACCATCTAGTGGATACAAATAACCTCTTTTCCTGAATTGAGTCCAGCGAGGAGGTGAACAGAACAAACAGGCTGTGGAACTCGGTTGGAATCCCAGTACCATTTAGTTTCTGAATGAACTCGGAAAAACCACTCAACCTACCATGCTCTGCTTCTCAACTGCAAATCTGGGTAATAACAGTGCCACTTCATAGGATGTTAGGAAGTGACATGGAATGACCCACCTAAGGCATGGCCTAAACACTCAGTAAATGTTACTTTTTAATAACTCTAAGCCACAGACTCACATGAGTTGGGAACTGTCCAGTAGCACACGCGTTTGACTACCCTTCAAAAGAAGTGGCTATTTAATCTAGCTTGTAGAATCTGTGATACGAGGCTTAGTGAGCTTCCTCTCCTAGTACGTTGTTGTATTTGGCTGAAGCTTATGGTGAGAAAAGGGAAATTGGGGCAACAAGGCTGGAATGATAGTTCGAGCCCAGATGGCATACAGCGTGGGCTCTCTCATTCATTCAAACCTGACTCCACTCAGAAGGAGAACGTCAAGAGCAGAGAGAGATTGAAAACAAAAACAAAAACCAACTTTGAAACCAATGCTGCCATATGTCACCAACCTGGAATACGACCAGGGAAATTTTAGCTTAAAATATCTTGACTCTAGATGAAATCTTTATGAATTATTTTGAAAGGCATAATACTTTCTAGAATATTTTTTTGGGGGGTTTTGAACACAGCAGTTCAGGAAACACAGCAGAGAAAAATATGGTGCTCTCCAACATATCTGAATGTGAATTGCTTTGAGGGTGTAATTGCAATAGCTGATGTAGAAGAATTTAAGGAACTAAAAACAAAGGCACAATTTATTGTGTACTAACATACAACAAATACAGTTTATTAAATTTGCCCTCAAGGCACATACAGCCTCTCAGCAGTTTGCAAAACGGAAGCAGCAGAAGGTAAATAAACGAAATGAGAATGACAGAAAGTAATTCAAGATGAGGTGAGTTTCATGAAAAATGTAATCAATAGGGACTTAGTCTGGAAAGGTTACAAACAGTAAAGAGACACTAAGTTTCTATTGAACCTGAACTTTCTTTTCACTTGCTTTATATGTATCTTATGTTGTATAAGCAAGTTTCAAAAAAAATGAGAACACCAGTTAATCACGGGCACCTGTCACAGCCCTGATTTCTTAGTTATTTTTTTCCCCTCACATCCCCAAGAAATCTGAAACGTGTTGTTTTCTTAATGAGCATCAGTTTTCGCCAAAAATTAAAATGGAAAGAATGTCCTTTATTCATGGAATATTAGAATTGTGCAGTCATTTGGAGATTACCTAGTCTCTAGCTACTCAAAGAGTAGTCTGTGGACCAGAAGCTTTGACATCACCTGGGAGCCTGTTAGAGTCTTGGGTCCCACCTGACATAGAATCAGAGTTTTAACAAGATCCTCCGGTGATTTATCTGCACATTAAAATTTGAGGAGAGTTTCAGGTTTATTTAATCTTAGATATAGGTCTGGGATCAGGATTTTTAAAAATCTCCTCAGGTTATCCTAATACAGTAGAGTTTAAGAACTGCAAAACTAGTCAACCTTCATTTTTCAAATGAGGATATTATGGCGCACAAAAGTTTATGGATTTAACCAAGGTCACCCAGCTATTTCGTACCAGAATCCAAACAGTGGCATCTCTCCTCCTTATAAAAAAAATAGAGTCAAGGGAACAGGGTAGGGAGTGCAGAGATGGGAATTATTATTTAATATAGGGTGGTCAGGAAAGACCCACCTGAGGAAGCAGACACCTGAGGGAAGAGAGGAAACAAGCCATGCGGATTGCTGAGGAACTGTGTTCCAGGCAGGGTGTGTGTGTGTGTGCACGTGTGTGTGTATGTTTACTCACACTGGAAGAAGAACAAGGAGTAGTGTTTCCAAATTTCCAACAGATACTAATCTTTGGCATGCAGAAACAAGAAATCAGAACTGCCAGGAGTTCTCCAAATCTTATTTTTATTTTTATTTTTTGCGGTACGCGGGCCTCTCACTGTTGTGGCCTCTCCCGTTGCGGAGCACAGGCTCCGGACGCGCAGGCTCAGCGGTCATGGCTCACAGGCCCAGCCGCTCCGCGGCATGTGGGATCTTCCCGGACCGGGGCTCGAACCGGTGTCCCCTGCATCGGCAGGTGGACTCTCAACCACTGTGACACCAGGGAAGCCCCTAAATCTTGTTATTTTTAAAATACTTCCAACCTTCTTCATATTCTTTATTCATTGCCATGCTATCTGAATCATTTGTTTAAAAAATAAGGACTATTAAATTTAGAAGTATTTATAAGAGATGTAGCCTACAGCAAATATTCAAATACTGGGGAACACAGAGAACATTACTGGGTACCATTTGAATAATGTAACATACAAATCTCCAAGCAAGGCTAACAGCCCTTCACAGAATCATGGGTTGGAAATTGCCAATTTAAGGGCTTATTCTGAATAAAAACTTGTTGCTCCTTGGAATATCACTCATAGAATTTGTGTAAAGTATACAATGAGTATCAACTTACTAATATTTATTTTACTTGCAAGAATGACTTACTGTTAGCAGCAGACTGGGCCGGGGATGCACACTTATAACATGGCACCAGCTCCAAGCAAGATTGACCTATCAGACTGTGATCGCCTCTCTCCCAGGTGCTCCTGTCCTGGTTCCTGGAATGTTGATCTCAACTCCTGACTCAGAGTGTCAGCATTTCCTGCTCTTGCTCTCAACTTATCTTGACATCAGTGGATTTCTTCAGTTACATCTCTATGTTGATTGCTGTGGTTTAACTTTCACAGGAGAATCAGAATACTTTCTCCAATTTTGCTGATTTCTTAACTGATTTTTTTTTTCTAAATTTGTAAAAACATGTACATTTCCTGAGAAATGCTGGGAAGAATTCCTGCGTAGAAACACTTACAAGGAGCACAGTGAGGCTGCAGCAAAGTTTACCAGGGAGAGGGTGGTAGGACTGCAGGTCTGGAAGAAAACGGAGGGTATAGTTATTGAGGACCTGTGGGCATTGTAAGGATTCTGCATGAAATGGGAAGTCATGGAGAGTCCTGAGCAGAGGAGTGGCATTGTTTGACTTAGGTTTTGAAAACATCATTCAGGTTGCTGATTGAAAGTAGTAGGGCCAAGGAAGTCAACAGTTAGGAGATTATTGCAAAAATCTGGGCAAGAGACGATGTCAGTGCAGACCTTAATGGAAGCACGGATGGTGGTGAGAAGTGGTTGGATTCTGGATATATTTTGAATGTAAAGCTGATAGGATTTATAATAAGCTGCTTGTAAAGTGTGAGAAGAAGAGGAATTGAGGATGACTTCAAGGTTTTTGGCCTGAGACTGGCAGGCAGGATGCAGTTACCATTTACTGAGATGGATAAGAAGGAGGGGTGGAGGGGGGACTGTGGAGAAGTTTGTTTTTTTACATCTTAAGTTTAAGGTGCTTCTTACATTGAAGTGGAGATGTCTAAGTGAAGATGTCACGTAGTCAGTTAGATAAAAGAGTGTGGACTTCAGAGCTGGAGATAGAAAGGCAGGATTTAGCAGTATATGGATGGCATTTACAGCTAGGTTTTTACACCCACCACTGACGGAGATTGTAGCTGTGGTTCTTTGAGCAACTCACTTAACCTTGTCTATTTGCTCTGCTGAAAAACACTTAAAGAATACACATCTTACCACCTAAAACAATGAGGCTACAGGGTCCATGTACGTGAAAATGCCTTGTAAACTGTAAGGTTCTGTTCAAACTGGAAGAAGCAGACAGTTGATGGTACTGGGGATGAAGAAAATCAATTCAGGGACCCAGGGAAATAGTCTTCACGTGCTGAGAATTACAAAAACCACGAAAGAAAGAAAGCGCAAATAGCAATTATTACCTTTTTTGGACTGTAGGCCAATCTAGGCAAAGCTACTATTTTTTTATTTACATGGCACCCAACATTTACTAAGAACTTCACATAACATTATGTTTTGAGCTGCACAACAGTGTTGTGAGGAAGCAATTGTTATCACCCCATTTTACGGAGAAGGAAACTGAGTTCAGAGAGGATTAGCGGACCTGCAGGGGGCATCGTATTAATAGTGAAGGACAGAGCCATACAAGCATCCAGACATCCTCTTTCCAAGTTCAACCTAAATACGAACAAACCATTCCACACTCTCCACCGGCCGCCGGGAAGGCGGAGGAGACAGCAGGGATGCCCGAGGTCTCCGGTTTCCGAAAGTGCTGGGTCCTCTGCCGCTCCTGGGCCCCCACGTCTCGTTTCTGGATGGTATAGCCCTTTTCCCCTATCGCGAGACTGGCAGCTTCGTGCTTCTGGTTGCCAAGGGAACGGCGTTCTGGGAGGCAGGAGGGCTTCTGACCCGCGGCTTCTTCCACCTTCAGAGAAGCTGCGGTGGCGGGAAAGACCCCTCCCCTTTGGGGGACAGTGGGTGACGCTGAGAGTGTCAATGCTCTGACGACTGGACACTAGCCCCCAGTTTCCGTCCGGAAGGTGAGGGACCGCACAGGTTAGGAGCGAACTCTATCGCCGCGGGACAAGCCAATGAGAGGGCGGGGCGGAGTCGTGTCAGGGTGCTGGGCCCGGAGAAGGGGCAGGGCCAATAAGAGGGCGGGCTCAAGCAGGGCGGCGGACTCAAGCAGGGCGGCGGGCTCAAGTAGGGCGGCGGGCTCAAGCAGGGCGGCGGGCTCAAGCAGGGCGGCGGGCTCAAGCAGGGCGGCGGGCTCAGCGGAGGCTGGCCAGGCCTGGGAGAGAGACGCCGGTCTGACCCCGGAGAGGCTTCCGTCTCCTTGAAGGCTGTGTGTCGCCAGGATTTCCTGGAAACGGCGGTAAACGTTCCTACCGTAAGACCAAGTACCAAGGACTCTCACTGCCCTTCTAGCCCCTAAGATCTAGAATTTGTATTACAAATTAATCACCCGCCATTTAAGTGACAAAGGATGCAAATAGGCATTTCACAGAAAAAATAAAAGGTGGGCAGTAAACATTTGACTAGAGACTCAACTTCTCTCATAATTAAAGAAATGTAGATCACACTCACAGATACCTTTTGACACTTCTCAGATTGACAAAGATGAAAAGCTTTGACATAAGCAGATTGGCCTGGGTGGGGAAACAGGTACTTTCATCTCAGCGTACCCTGTTGTTAGTAATATAGTTTGGTACAACCTTTTTGGAGGACAGTTGGCAGACTACCAAAATTTGAAAGACAGTGTTCTTTGACTCAGCAATTAAAAAAATTTTTTTATTGAAATAGAGTTGATTTACAGTGTTGTGTTAATTTCTTCTGCACGGCAGAGTGACTCAGTTATACGTATATATATTCTTTTCTGTATTCTTTTCCATGATGATTTGTCACAGGATATCGAATATAGTTCCCTGTGCTATACAGTAGGACATTGTTGCTTATCCATCCTATGTATAATAGTTTGCCTCTGTTAATGCCAAACTCCCATTCCTTTCCTCCCCTATCTCCCCTTCCCATTTGGCAACTGCAAGTCTGTTCTTTATGTCTGTGAGTCTCTTTCTGTTTTGTAGATATGTTCTTTTGTGTTGTATTTTAGATTCCACATGTAGGTGATATATGGTCTTTCTCTTTCTGACTTGGCTTAGTAAGATAATTTCTGGGTCCATCCATGTTGCTGCAAATGGCATTATTTCATTCTTTTTAATGGCTGAGTAGTATTCCATTGTATATATGTACCACATCTTCTTTATCCATTCATCTAGGTTGTTTCCATGTCTTGGCTATTGTAAATAGTGCTGCTATGAACATAGAGGTGCATGTATCTTTTTGAATTATAGTTTTGTCTGGGTATATGCCCAGCAGTGGGATTGCTGGATCATATGGCAACTCTATTTTTTTTCACTTAGAAATTCTAATTTATCTTCTGGGCACATAAACATAACTAAGCAAAGATTTGTACAAAGAGGTTAACTTAAAATTGAGGCATTCTTTACATACAGTAAAATTTACCCTTTTAATATTACAGTCCTATGAGCTTTGACAAATGCATACAGTTATGTAATTACCATCACAATCAGGATACAGAACAGTTGCATCATTCCCCCTGAAATCCCCTAGTACTGTTTTTGTAGTTAACCCTTCCCTACCCCCAGCCCTGGTAACGGTCATCAGTTTCCTGTCCCTATAGTTTTGTCTTCTAGAAGTCATATAATTGGAAACAAATACTGTGGAGCCTTTTGAATCTGGCTTCTTTCAACTTAGCATTATGCAGTTGAGATTTGTCTATGTTTTGTATCAGTAATTTGTTCCCTTATATTGCTGAGTAACATTCCATTGTATAGATGTACCACAGTTGCTTATCCATTGTCTAGTTGAGAGACATTTGGATTGTTCCCAGTTTTTGGCAGTTATTAATGTAGCTGCTATATGTACAGGTTTTTGTGTGAATATAAATGTTCATTTCTTGGGTGAATATCCAGGAGTGAGATTATGGACTCGTATGGTAAGTGTATGTTTACATTGTAAGAAGGTGCCAGGCAGTTTTGCAACACGGCTGTCCCATTTTGCATTCTCATCGGCAATATATGAAAGTTCCAGTTGCTCCAACTTTGTCAGCACTTGGTATTGTTAGTTTTTTAAAAAAATAATTTTCACATTTGAATGTGTAGCAGTATTTCGTTGTGGTTTTAAATTTCTCCAATGACTAATGATGTTGAACATCTTCTGGTGCTAGTTTGCCATCCATACATCTTTGGTGATGAGTCTGCTCAAATCTTTCTTATTATTGAGTCTTGATACTTCTTTATATATTCGGGATATAAGTCCTTTGTCAGCTGTGTGTTTTGCAAATATTTTCTCCCAATATTTGGTCTGTGTTTTCCTTTTCAACTGTGTCTTTTGAAGAGTGGAAGTTTTAAATTTTGATGCATTCCAATTTATCAGTATTTTCTTTTATGAATCAAACTTTTGATGTTGTATCTAAGACATCTTTGCTAGCCCACAATCACACATATTTTATAGAAATTTTATAGTTTTAATTTTCTATTTTAGGTCTATGATCAATTTTGACTAAATTTTTGTATTGTTTTTTAATAACAAATCTTCTATATACAACCTAAGTGAGCTGAATAAAAAAATGCTACATCTATGCAATGAAATACTATGCCATCATTTGAAAGCATGAAGTGTATCTGTATGTGATGGTATAGAAAAATCTTTGAAATACACTAAGTGTAAAAAAGCAAGTTGTGAAGCACCATGCCATTTGTGTGTGTTTGTGTTGGGGAGGAGTAGGGAGGTAAAGGATAGAAAGTTTGCATATGCCTAAAAAAGTGAGACCTACAAAAATCTTTCTTGGGGTGAGGGTAATTTTGACTTGAAAAACTTTTACATTCTTCTGTATTATTTGATTTTTTTCCCCTCTCAAGGGCAAGTATTTCTTACATAATAAACAAGTACAGAAAGTAAAAAAACAACTACCATAAGTAATTTTTAGATATTAAAATCATGAAAATAAGTGTAATTCTACTTTTTAAAAAGGCTGGCTATTTGTTATTACTAAACAGGAGGATTTATTTTCTTTTGATTCTTCCATTTATCTAAAAACATCAGATTACAGCAGCTACGTGTCCCCATTTTGGTTTTTTTTTTTTCAGATCACGTGATACTTTAATCGTTGAACAAACAGACAATTAATAGCAGTTATACAATTGACATGTCGTGATCCAGCATCAAGGTCATAAACCATATTGCCGATATGAACTCCAGAATACAATTACACTGTTATCCCTAGTAAAACTTGTTCCGTTGAACAGTGTTTTAGAAGAACAGGTGATAAAGCATATTGACTAGCTGGTCTAAATTTTAATCACTCAGAGGTGTTTTTTTTTTTTTTGCGGTACGCGGGCCTCTCACTGTTGTGGCCTCTCCCGTTGTGGAGCACAGGCTCCGGACGCGTAGGCTCAGCGGCCATGGCTCACGGGACTAGTCGCTCCGCGGCATGTGGGATCCTCCCGGACCGGGGCACAAACCCGTGTCCCCTGCATCGGCAGGCGGACTCTCAACCACTGCGCCACCTGGGAAGCTCTCAGAGGTGGTTTTATTCTCCAAAAAAATAAATGGCGCACGGGCTCAAGGCGCACTGGCTTCAGTAGTTGTGGCTTGCAGGCTCAGTAATTGTGGCCCACTGGCTTAGTTGCTCCGTGGCACGTGGGATCTTCCCGGACCGCGGATCGCACCCGTGTCCCCTGCATTGGCAGGCGAATTCTTAACCACTGCATCACCAGGGAAGTCCCAGAATCGCAGTCTCCCTTTTAATGTACCTTAAGCCCAAAGAATCCATGGAAAATTGTTACAGAAAATAAGACAATAAAATATTGTAAGGACTATAGCAGAAGCATATAGTACACAGTTCATATAGACACATCCCAAGCAGTTACCAAGTATATTAAAAGGGAGGCTGCAATTTTAAAAGAATAAGATAAATTATACCCACAAGGGGCTTCCCTGGTGGTGCAGTGGTTGAGAGTCCGCCTGCCAATACAGCGGACACGGGTTTGTACCCCGGTTCGGGAAGATCCCACGTGCCGCGGAGCGGCTGGTCTCATGAGCCATGGCCACTAAGCCTACGCGTCCGGAGCCTGTGCTCCGCAATGGGAGAAGCCACAACAGCGAGAGGAAAAAAAAAAAAAAAAAAAAAATTATACCCACAAACTCCCAATCTTTCCTGAAACGTTGCAAACTGAAACCCTATTGTAGGAAGCAGAAGATACCAGGAGACATTCTACAAATGAAGGACTCTAAACCTTGTGGTTGGATAAGGAATTCTGGAAGGAAGGTATCCTCACCCATGGAGAGCAGGTTCCTATACTTCTCTAACATCACATCCCTGTAGTCCATTTTGGTTTTAAACCATTCATGGTGGTTGCATTTCTCTGAAAAAGTTTAAACTAATCCTGCTTGAAATGAATGTTATGAAAAGCTGGTATGTTTTAGTAGTGATTTGTTAGAATTTAGAATCTGGTCATATATCCATGTATTTAATGGAATATCAAGAAGTAAATAATATTCTATTTTAGAAGTGTCTGTAATGTAATAAGAAAATGTTTATCGTGTGATGTTAAGTGAGAAATATATGAATCCAATTTTGTTGAAAAGACATAAAAAGCAAAAATGGAAAGGAAATGTTTAGCCAGCAATGTTTAGCTCAGGGTGGAGAATATTGGGTGATTTTTATTTATTTTTGAGTATACTTTAATATATTCCAGAAAATTTTCTTCAGTAAATAAATTCTTTAATTATGAATTTAAGATTAATAGAAAACCAGAAAATACAGATAAGCAAAAGGTGAAAAAAGACACAAGAACATCCATGAAGCTACCAACCCAGAATCTACCACTGTTACTTCTTTGACTTGTGATCATCTTTCAGGTTCCTCTCTGTATATTTATTTAATTAGAGAAATTGGACTTGTTTTTTTAAACAAGGTGTTGACTTCCTTCCTCCTTCTTTCCTTCCTTGTCTATGCCCCAGCCAGTTTTCTATTGGAATGTTTCTTTCCCTTGTTGATTGGTAAGAGCTCTTTAAATGTGTAAATGTATTAACCTTTTGTATATTATCTGTATTGCATATATTTTCTCCATTTTCTCATGTACCTTTTAATTTAATTTAGTGTTCCTTTTTTGGTTTGATACTCAAGAGCATTAAATATTATGTAATCAAATCTCTTAGTTTCATCCTGTTTGACTTATGCTCTGATATGCTGCTTAGTAAGTCATTAACCTCATTATTATATAAATTAGCTCTATGTTTCCTTCCAGTCCCCTGAAGATTCCATATTTTATATTTATTTATTATTAATTTTTTTGACTTTTATTAAAGTAATATAGTAAAATATGTCAAACTGTACTGTAACATTTACAATAAAAAAAAGCAGTCTCTAGTCACATCCTTCAGGGGCAAATATCTTGGACTTATTTAACTATTGTGCTTATTTAACTACTGTTTGGCTTTATCAATTTTTGGATATTCTCTTTGATTTCCTATTAGGACAGATTAGATTTTTTATACTACGTTTTCTTTTACATACTCCTCCTCACGTACACTCAATGTAATTAAGGCACAGTGTTTGGTTAAATTCAGTACTTATATAAGTATTATCATTTGATTGTTTGTTTTCTTGTACAATGCTTTATTTTTCTTGTGGAATTTCTCTCTGGCTATTGAGATTTCTTCTCAAATACTCAAAAACATCTTTAAGTTCCTAATTCAGTATCCTTTATCCATACTTTATTCTACATGGCCAAATTCATAAGATTGTTAGTTACAACCCTACCCATCCTGGAAACTGTATTTTATTTATTATTTTCGTGAGCAAACATAATAGAACAGACCTATTTCTAAAACTAATCTAAAGATTTCTGGAGCCTTTTAGTTGATCCATGCCATTGGTGGTTCCCTGTGCCTCTCCCTTTATTGACATGTATTATACTGGCTCTGCACAGGCTTCCATCTCATTGCTCCCTCTGTTAGCCACAATAAGTCTCCCCTGACAGGCTGTTTAGGGCATTACAAGACATTTGGCCTTTCAGTGACTTAAGCTTTTTGATGGTGACGTGACGGGCCAGGGCGATCCGTCATCCCACAATAATAATGTCAGTGCCTTCCTGAGTGAGCCAAAAACCCTTTTGCAGAGTTTGAGTAATGTTGAGATCACTGCCTTTTTCATTTGCTGAGATGGAAAGAGTTGACGTACTGTCCTTTAAGCCTCAGCTTTGGCACACTGAATGGTTGGAGGGTAAATCATATTACTGCTCTGGGTGCCTTGGAGGAGCGTGGGGTTGTTCATGATTGGGCTTCCTCCTGTGTCCAAAGCTTCCTTGGACTCTGCCTCAGCTGTTCAAAAAAAGAAAGAAAGATGAGTCATTTTTTAGGGTAAGAAATGGACATTGTTACACTTGCTGGGCCAGAGGCAATTGCCTTTCTTCATTCTGTTATGGAAGAAATGGTTTAATTTATAATTGATAGGAATTTAGGAAAGGATTTGTTGGAAGATATCCGTTCACATGTAAAGCTAAGTATTGAGAAGTCAAGCTATGAAATTCTCTCTCTTTCTTCCACTTTATTTGGCATGCATGATACCCCAAGCATTACCGAACATATTTGGAATGGTCCTGACCAAGGGCACAGTTTGGAAGCAAAGTGCCAGCAGTGCCCAAGTTTTCCCACTAGTTTAAACCATCCTGCCTACTATTTCCTGCTTCAGGAAATAGTCCTAGGAATAGAGCAGCCAGACTGGTGAGAGTCTTGTGGACGGTGTCACATGAAAAATAGTTAAAGAGATTGGCAATGTGTATCCAGATAGTGAAAGCCGGTCCTCTAGTAGAGAGAGTAGGTTCAGTTCTCTGTTGTTTCGAGGCAGAAGTAGAATCATGGGTTTTAGAAGGGGAGAGTTGATAGAAGAGTGTGGTCACTTGGAGATAAGTACTCCATGAAAATGCAGTACCAAGGAGGAGAGGAAAAATCAGAGCTGAGAGGGAGCCCCAGCCGAAGGCTGAGCTAGAATAAGGAAGGTAAAACCCGAAGAAAGTAGAGGCCTTGGCAGATTATTACGATGAAGCATGAATCTTGGCCGAGGGGTGTGGTGCTCCGTAAGTGTCTTCTTAGGCCAAGGCCACAGTAACTGTTTCTCTTGGAGGCACAGAAGGCCATTGAGATGGTGTTCACGTCTGCATTCTTTTTTAGCCACTTTCAGAATCTGACATCCTGGAAGCATGTTTTTTGCACCTATGGTGACATAAGATGTAATGATCCATGGACACAGACATCTTTTGATGAAATTAGGGTACTGTGACTTTGGTAGTGACATAATCCTTATAACAAAGGCTCTGAGTTCACTGCCTATTAACACTGATGAAACATTTAAACATACAAGTCATAACTTGCTTGAAATTTTGTTTGCTTGTTTCAGGAGATCAATGGATATTATAAAGGGAAACTTAGATGGAATTTCAAAACCAGCCTCAAATTCAAGAACACGTCATGGGAGCAGAGGTTCAAATGCTTCTTTGGAGGTGCTCTCACCGGAACCAGCATCCTTCAAGGTACTATGCTGTTTAGAAATGATATAAACTACTTCTTCTGATCTCTAGCAATTGATAAACCAAGGCTGTTGTTAACATCCCATTCTAAGGTTCATCTTTAAAGGGTGTATTCTGGGAGCACTCATAGATTTCTTGGATTTTACTTTAGATCATTTAATGTGAAAATACTGTTTCCTTCTTTACCTTCTCCTCTTTTTTCTTGGGGGGGAGTTATGGCTTATTTTTTCACGATTGTACTTTGTTAATGCTCATTTATTAACTTTTCTTCTTTCATAAGAAAGCTTTGTATTCCAACGTCTACTATGCCACCATTGACTCTTATTATGAAAAAGATTCAGTAATTTAAAAAATAGAGTTTGGATAAAAACCACGTGGTATATGTTTAGTAGGTACATTACCTGGTGTCTTTTTCTTTTCTTAAAATATCTAAGCTTGACGTTTTTTAAAGAATCTGTTTTTCCCTCTGTGGTGGGGGATAATTTATTTTAAGGTTGTGGGAAACAAAAATTTTGAAATTTATGGTGAAAAATTTTCTTGCAAGTCTGTGAAGCCTTTCTCACTTATTCTTTTGACTTATGCACTAGACTCTGCATTATGTAACTCTTAGAGTTTTTGTCTATCATGATTTAATGCTGGAAATAGAAAGCCTTCTAGACATTTCCAGCAGAAAGGGATTGAATACAAGAAATTCAGTTCCTCAAAAATCAATGGAAGGCCAGTGAAATCATGCGAGGGGACTTCCCTTGGATTATTGGTTCCCAGGTCACACCACCATATCCAAAATCCAGAGACCTGAAAGCTGCTGCTTTTCTGTTGCTGCTTCTGACACTGCTACACATCCCTCAGCACCACAAAACTGGTGACTAGACGTGCAGAGATGACTGCCTTTGATATTTCTTGTCAATTTCGTATCAGGAGCTTAGCAAGATGGCTTCTACCTCATTTCTGTGGTAAAACTTTTGTGCAGATGTACCTATTTGGATGAAACTAACACGCATCCAGAGCCCAACCTGCAAGCAGCTTTGTAAAATACAGTTTCTAGCTTAGCTGTCTGTTTTGTTTCATCTAATCCTGCATCATTACTATACTGTGTGTTAACTCTTGTAGCATTGTAGCAATTCTTGATATCTGGTGGGATGGGTCTTCCCATCATATTCTTTTCTAGGACTGTCCTAGCTATTCATGGCTTTTTGTTGTTTTTATATTTCAGAACACTTCAAGTCCTGTGAAAAATACTGTTGGGGTTTTGATTAAAATTGCTTTGAATTTATAGATTAATTTGGAGAGAATTTCTAACTTTATGAAATTAAATCTTCCCATCTATTAACATTGTATCTCATTGACTTCTTTGCTTCTAATTTAAAAATTTTACATACTGTAAAATTCACTCTTTTCTGGTGTATAGTTCTGAGTTTGGCAAATGTGTAGAGTGATACTATCACAATCAAGATATAGAACAGTTCCATCATTACCTCTCAATTCCCTCATGCTGCCCCTTTATAAACAATCTCTCCTACTCTTAATCCCTGGAAACTCCTGATCTGTTCTCTGTCCCAATAGCTTTTCCTTTTCCAGAAGGTTTAATTCCATTCCGCATGAATGGAATTTAAAAAAATATGTAGCTTTTGCATCTGCCTTTTGTCTGTTGACACAATGCATTTGAGACACATCTATGTTGTTGCTTGTATCAGTAGTTCAAGCCTTTTTATGGCTAGTACTGTTCCATTGTGTGGGTAAACCACAGGTTGCTTATTCATTCTCCAGTCAGGAACATTTGGGTTGTTTGCAGATTTTGGTGATTATGAATAAGGCTGCTGTAAATATTTGCATACTGATTTTGGGGATGTGGTGGGAAATAGGTTTTTACTTCTTTTGGGTAAATACCTAGGAGTGGGATTGCTGGGTTGTATGGTAAGTGTATGTTTAACTATAAGAAACTGTCAAGCTGTTTTCTATTCCCACCAGAAATGTATGAGAGTTCCGGCTGCTTTGCATCCTCACCAGCAGTTGATATTGTCAGTTTTTCTTTTTAAGCCATTCTAATAGGTATACAGTAGTATTTCATTGTGGTTTTAACTCAAATTTCCTTGGTGACTAATAATGTTAAGTATATTTTTATGTGCTTATTTGCAATCCACATATCTTTTTTGGAAAGTGTATGTTCAAAAAAATCTTTTTTTAATTGGGGTATAGTTGTTTTACAATGTTGTGTTAGTTTCTGCTGTACAGCGAAGTGGAGTTCCCTGTGCTATACTGCAGGTTCTCATTAGTTACCTATTTTATACATATTAGTGTATATATGTCAATCCCAATCTCGCAGTTGATCCCACCACCCCCAGCTTCCCCCCTTGGTGTCCATACGTTTGTTGTCTACACCTGTGGCTCTATTTCTGCCCTGCAAACTGGTTCATCTGTATCATTTTTCTAGATTCCACATATATGGGTTAATATACAATATAGCTTGACTTTTCATTCTTTTAACTGTCTTTTAAAGAGCATTTAAAATTTTAAGTGCAATTTATCAATTTTTTTTTCTTTTGAGGATTGTGTTTTTTGGTTGTATCTAAGAACCCGTTGTCTAACCCAAATTCCCAAAGATTTTTTTCCTATTTTTTTCTTCTGAAAGTTTTATAGTTTTATGTTTTAGATACTTGTGGCCTCTCTTGTTGCCAGTGAGAAGGCTTTTGTAAACCCAGTATTCATTCCAGTGTGGGTTGTCTAGTTTAGATATTTTCCTCTGGTTGCTTTATTTTTTTTCCCTGTGTCTTTGGTATCTACTATTATTCACCTAGGTATGGACTTATTTATCTTTCTGGAGACTAGTACTTCTTCAATATAAGGATTTGTATGTTTCATTTTTTTTTTTTTTACTTCTTAGCCATTGTGTTTTCACATGTTTCAAATATTGCCTGCATTTTTTTTCTATTTTGTCATCCTCAAAGTGCAGTTAAATGTCTGTTGAACCTTTCTCTTCTATCCTTCATGTCTCTTAAAAAAATTTTTTTTTAATTCATTTATTTCTCTGTGCTTCATGCTGGGGAATTTTTAACATTTTCTAATTTTGAATTCTTATACTATGTCAAATCTGCTCTTTAATCCATCCATTGAATTTTCAAGCTTAATGATGTATTTTTAATTTCTTGAAGTTCGTTTTAGTTTATTTTCAAATCCATCTGTTCTTTGCAATACCTTGATCTTGTGTTTTTGGGGTTCTTTTTTTATACCCATTAAAACTATTTATATGATTATCAGCTTTTTAATATCTTAAGTTCTTTTGTTTATTCTGATTCTTGCTTATTATTGGTCATGTATTCATGGCTTTTGACCTTTTAGAATGTAAGTTTTAATTTTGGGAATTTTATGGAGCCTGATAAACTATACCTTCCAGAGCAACTATACCTTCCAGAGCAGTTTCTGTTTGCTTCTACCAAATGCCTCAGAGATATCACTGGCATGAATCTTTTTTTGTGTGTGTGTGCTAATTTTTCATCTTTAAGCATTCCAGAGGATATGAATAACATAAATTGGAATCCAAACCCACATGAAGCATGACCCTGTGGTTGCACATTCTCAGGGAAGACGATTTCCCACTTGGAACCCAGACACATTTTTTGTTTGTATCCTGTGCTTTTGGATAGATGTACTTTTCTAGTCTGCCCTCTCACCAAGGAGGCACCTTTTTGAGGGATCCAGCTTCATGGAGCAGGAGAGGGAAGGTTCCTCTCCATCTTGTCTTGCATGGTCCCAAGGCTTAGTTTCTTAGCTCTGTGTGGGTGTTAAAGCCTAAGCCCATAGCTTTCTGAGGCCAGCACATCCTCATTTGCCTGTCCTTGTTGCTCCTACCCCATCCCCACCAGGGCAGCTGCTTTAAGGATTTACAAGGTTCCTATTTCAGCTTTCACTTTCCTTTTAATTTCTGTTCATTGGCAGTTTCCCCAGGGTTCTTGTGAACTTACCTATGCATTTGTAAGTAGATGGAAGGTTTCAGTTTATTCAGTTTTCCATATAGCCCAAACTGGAATCTAAAAACAATTTTAGATTCTTTAGTCTCAAGCTTTGTGATTATAAGCCTAAACTCTGGAGTCATGGTTCAAAATAGGCTCTGATGACCGTATTTTATGTGATTTTGGGCAAACTACTTCAACTCTCTGTGCCAGTTTCCTCATCTGTTCAAAGGTGTAATAATACTATCCACCCCATAAGCATGTTTTTTTTTTTTTCATAAGCATGTTTTGAGGATAAAATGAGATGAAATATCTACAGGTTTTAGAAGTGACTAGCACCTAGTAGGTATTCAGTACATCTTAGCTAATTGGCCTCAATTCTTTAACCTAATTGGTTAGTCCTTCCCATGTTTTTATTCACAGGATTCAGTGTAAAGCCGGGCACATAGTAGGTATTCACATAATACGTGTTCAACAAATTTAGAATGACAGTTTTACCATTTTATGTAGGTAGGGTAATATACAAAGACCTGACAGATATTAGGGTAGCAAAGCATTAGTATTTCTGCTTCCATATTCCTGGGTGATGATTTTCTTTTTAAGTAGCAACTTCACAATATTGACACACATGTTTTAAAACGTAGATTAATATTACTTCATTCAGGGCTTATTTAAAAGTGAAATATCAGCAATCACTTCAAGTCAGATTTTATTTGAACCCACTAAGCTATAGGTGAAACTCTAGCATATTTATTAACCAACAGGGACTTTGATACTTATAGCAAAAGCAAGACTTCCTAAAAGTTGTGATTTGTCTTAATCAAATTCATGGAAAATCAGTAAGTTTCACCTTAGGTTGCGGAAGAAAGCCACAGGTATGCTGCAGGTTGACTGCTGACTGCAAATGATTCAATGTCTATAAAACCTTATACATTGTCTAAATAATAAATAAATCCTGGTATTTTGATTAGTTTTATTGCTCATTTGTCTTTTATTAATTTCTTACCCCAAATTTCTGTATAGCAGAAAGTGAGTTTAAAATGCTAGAGTTTTAATGAAATTTCTGTAGTAATGATATATTTCTCATTCTAAGAATTTTGGTTTATTTTTACTTCTGAATATTTTTCTTGAATGAGCCAATAGTTGGAATTGGTGTAAAAATCTAATGGCTTTCAGGTAGGGATCTAATTGCTAGGAAGGGTTTTTATAGGCTATTTACCTTTCCTGGACTAACATGGAGGTATGAAGTGGGGGACACAGAGCAATGAAAAATGGAGATTGAATGTGGCTTTGAGAATAAAGAAGAAAGAAAAATCATACACTTAGGCCACAGGGTAGAAGATCAGGAGGGCTGGGAATAGAGAGGCCAGTGGGCAACGGGATGGGGGAGATGGTTGGTGCTAGTGGGGTGGGGAACTACGGGTAAAATTGTGAAATGGGCAATATTTGCCTTTTGTTCTCTAGTTTCATCTTTTTCTGCCTCATTGCTTCCCGCTCATCCTAAGAGTTAGGGTCATATGGGATGATATATGTGAAAGATCTTTGTGTATCCTGAAGTGTGGTATCCGAGTATGTTGCTAATGTCTACTTATGTTTCCCCTGTATAAAAACCCATTCTCAGGGAAAGGTCAGCTAGATTCATTTATGCCAAGATATAAATTACTGACAGGGCTCGTGTGACCTCTTCTAGCAATTTCAGTATTTTCACAGAACTATATAGCCTTAAGGATTTACTGGATATTTTGGAATTTTAGGCTTTACCCTGTCTTTGACAGAAGAATATTTTTCAACAGGGAACCTTCTTTAACACCTCCAAGATCACATAAAGTAAGCATTGTTTTGCTTATTATAAATTGGGTCTCCACTAGTTTCATTCCATACTGGATCTGTTTTCTTCTCTGTTATATCCGGGTAGTAATGCCTGTATCATTGTGAGGCGTGAACGAGGTAGTGTGTCTAAAGTACTTAGCACAGGACCTGGCTGATAGTAATGCCTCAGTCAATGTTGGCTATGATTTTTATACCACTGGCTCAGCTCATTTCTGCTGGGGCTCATGTCTTAGTTCAGGTGAACATAGATGCTCATGCAGTCCTGTGTCCCTGACAGTTTAATTCTCAGCACCGTCTGTCTTCTGTCCTGGAGATTCACAAGGGCGCTGGAGATTCACAAGGGCGCACAGATTACAGTGGTGAGGTGTGGACCATGACCATAAAAGCCTCCAAGGGCTGACCCCTGAAGGGCTGGAGCAGACAGTCCCTCCGTTGGGGGGGAAAGGTACTCGTCTCAGCAGTGGCTGACCTGCTGTCCCTGAGGTTTTGCCTCTCCCATGGGCTGTGTTCACCTCCACTGTGACTCTTATTGCCAAGCACAGCCCTCAGGGCCCTATGATGTCTGTTTTTTCCTGGTGCAGCCATGGATGTCTTTTCCTGTTCTCTCTCAGGAAAACACAGCTACACCAAACTGGTGTATTCAAAATGAACTTTGCTAAAATGGAAAGAGAAACCAAAATGAAATAGAAAAACTGTGAATAGTGTAAAAATAAATTATTCAGCAAAGCACATGGTTATGATTTGAAGAACTCCATTAGAAGCACGTCGCAGTTCAGCCTGTTCACTTTGCAGCTGTTCAGTAGCCACGTGTGGCGAGTGGCTATTGTATTGGACAGCTCAGCTCTAGACCCTTGACTCTCCATCTGAGGGTAAGCTCAGAGAGCAGGGGCCATCATGCTTCAACCCCAGAGCTTGGCAGAGAGCAGTTCTCTTTGGGACTGATTCCTGACCCTTCTCTATTATTGCTAGAAATTGCTGGAGAGTGGTGCATATTACTTTCTTGCAAATGTTATTAAATTTAATTGTGTATTTAAATTACATTTAATTAAGTGTCATATTTCTAGAATCATTTAATGCTACTATATATATATATGTCCTCACATATACTTACATTAGAGTTAAAATAGTCTAGAAATTTAAAATTAAAAAAATTTTTTTTTTACTTTTACTTTTGAAAACTGTTTCTTTGGAAATAATTTTTAGGTTGATACTGCAATCAATCTGAACTCTGGTAAAGAAGGCCACTCAGAAGGCAGTAGTAATACAGAGGAAGGTAGAAACAGTAATGATGATAAAGGGGAAAACTACTCTGAGAAAATAAAACTGGCTGAAGAGGGATCAGATGAAAATTCGAACTTGGTTCAGCATCAGATAATCCCTGAATGTTCAGGTAGGATAATCACTTGGTGATTGGCTAATGATAATTACTGATGCTATAGTTAAAATATTAGAATTACATATTTATTTTATCTGCTAAGTAGAAATAATAAAAAAAGAGACTTTTTTTGTGAGCAAGCAAATCACCAGTTTTCATTTATAAGAGTATTAAGAGCTCTTAAATACACTTAGAAAAATAATAAAATATGTCATTTAATAAAATTGTTATTGTAGTCATTTTACATTAATCAAGTAGGAAGTATTTCTGCATTTTATGACATGATTTATTGACCTTTTTGAAAATTGTACAGTAGAATATATCCTGTAATTTATAAATGCCTTTTAAGGGATAATCCCATTTGATCTTAATAACTTCTGGATTTTAAGAGACTCCATTATTTCATGGGTATTAATACTGGTATTAATTAATACTGATCAGAGTGAATTAGAACAGCAGTTCTCAAAACATGGACTGAAAGAGCCCTGGGCCCTGAGACCCTTTTAGGAACTCTGCAAAGTCAAAACTACTTTCATCATAATACTGATATATCAGTGATATGATTCATTGTAATATTGAAATAATGCTGTTTGCCTTTTTGCCCACTGAATTGTTGGTTTCACTGATGGTACAAAAGCAATGGTGGGTAAAATTGCTGGTGCTTTAGCATGAATCAAGGCAATGAATGGCACCAAATTGCACTAATAGTCATTGTGTTCTTCAAGACCTGGCATGGGCAGAGAAAAGAAATAGCCAGTGTCACGCAAGAATGTCCTTGATGGAGCAGTAAAAAATTTAAATTCTATTTAATCTTGACCTTTGAGTACACATCTTTTTAATATCCTGTGTGGTGAAATGGTAGGTACATATACAGCGATTCTGCTGTGTGCCAAAATGTGAAGTTTGTGTTGAGGAAAAGTACTGGTGTGATAATTTAAGTTGAGAGCTGAACTGGACACTTTTTAATGGGACACCATTTTTACTAGAAAGAATGAGTGACAGATCATCTATTATCATTCAGACTTAGATATTTGGCAGACATTTAAAAAAAAATGAACTGGGCCTGTTATTTCAAGGAAAACAACTGACAGTATTTTATGTCAATGATAAAATTTCAGCTTTCAAGTGAAAAATTAGAATCTTGGAAAATTTGTGTATGTCAACATGAGCTTTACAGCTTCCCAGTACTTAGACTTTTCTGATAAAAATTGGTGACAGTATTAACACATGTGATTTTTTCATATTTATACTGAAATCATTAATATTTGAAGGTCTGCATAATTCCGTGAACCACTATTTTCCAAATAAGCAATGCAGGATAAAAGATCCATTCAAATGAAAGATAGATCCATGGATTTATGGAACAAATACAAAAAGCTCACCGATAGGGTTACAGATTTCACATTACAACTAACCTTTAAGAAACTACCCCTTGTCCAGTTTTGATATTAGTATCAAGGAAGAATATCCACAATTATCTGAAAAGGGTATTAAATTTCTCCTCCCCTTTCCAACTACTGTACGAGGCCAGATTTTCTTCATATAGTCAATACTTTAACTGAGTAACAGGTTACAATAGATTGGCTTTGAAGCAGAGATGAGAATCCAGCTGTCTTCTGTTAATCCAGATACTAGAAATTTAAAATATTGCCATTCTTCTCAATATATTTTTTGGAAAATTTGGTTGTTATAAAAGTGTTATATTTATGTTAGAATGTAATTAGTAATACCATGTTTATTATTTTAAAATGAATAAATAAATACATATAATATTTTTCAGTTTTGATTTCTAATATGGTAATTATCAATAGATGTAACTCACATAAACAAAAGGTACTTTGGGTTCTCCATAATTTATAAACTGTAAAGGGAAGCTGAGCTCATAAACTTTGTGAACTGCTGATTTAGAGTATGTTTGGGATGAGATCAGCTCTAGGGCCAGGTGACTCAGGATTACAGTTATTAGGAAACAAGGTATTAGAGTTGAGATTAGCTATTGGCCCCATTTACAGTGTATTTGTTTATACTGTTTCCATACTGCAAGAGTTACTTCAAAATGTCTGCTGGATAGACCACCCATGTACAATGGGGCCTGAGAATGCTAGGGCTGGTGGTTGGGAATTAGAACTACAGGCTGTTGCATTCGATGTACGTGAGCCATATGATTCGTAGGGTCTCCTTATTAGTAAGATTAGTATTGTTTTTGGCTAAGCTTATTCCCTCGAAACATATCTCCTTTTCTTTTAAGAAGAAGTGATATACATTATAGGGAAACATCACTGGGCTCTGTATTTTCAAAAGTTGCAAAACTTGGCTTTTCTTTGCATAATATGCCATTTCTAATGATCTAAGCTGGGGTGGCTGAGACTTTAGAACTTGAGCATTTATGCTCATTGCCAGATTATCACCTTCCATCAGACCTTACAGAGGAAGTATCTCCTGGTGGTGAAGAGCTTTGGCTCTGCAGTCAGACAGGTCGGGTGGAAACTGACTCTGGCATTTACTAGTTATAAGATGATATATCTTGGACATATATGTAACTCCGTTACAATATACCATCTTGCTGGTTTACGGTGAAGATTACATGAGATAATGAATGTAAAAAAGCACTTAAGACTGTGCCTATCAGGTAACTCTATAAATGTTAGCTGCTATTATTAATATTATCATTAATCATAATGATAATTATTAATATTATTATTCATAATGGTAAGTTAAAACTTGAATGACAGAAGTTCTAAAGAGTTCCTAATTTCAAATAAGTTACTATCAATTATCCACAATTCAAGAACATTTTTAGGTACTTTAGGAAAATAGAACAAATGGGAGAGGCATAGATTAAAGGTGTTAAGATACACTGTGTACTTTTCTGAATTTGTTTCTAACATGTTGGAATCACTCTTTGTCTCTATGACATGCTACATTTTACTGTAGCTATTTGTGTACATGACTTCTCTTTCAGTTAGTCTGAAGCAGCTTTAGGATAGGGTCTTTGTCTTATTCTTTGTTAGTTATGAATATAGAAAGTATAGCAGAATGAAGGAGAAAGAATTTGGGATTTAAAATCATATGAGATCCACTTCTGAATTCAGTGCTATAATTTATTAGCTATTTGAAAGGGCCCAGTTATCTCAACTGTAAAATAGAGGTAAATGTCTATTTCACAGGGTTGTTAGATAATTATGTGAAAAAAATATGTGAAAGCACCTTGTAAACCAAGATACATGACACCAGTGTTAGTTATTACCATCAGCCATAAACATTTGTTGAATGAAAGAACAAATAGTAAAAACAAAACAAGAAGGAAAAGGCTTTATGATTTTACTAAACTTCAAGCTCATTCCTACTTTCAACATATATAGATGAATCTGAATTAAAAGAATTAGATTCTCAACTTCAAGATGCTATTCAGAAGATGAAGAGGCTTGATAAGATATTGGTGAAGAGACAACACAGAGAAAAAGAAATCAAGAAGCAAGGTCTAGAAATGAGAATAAAGCTGTTTGAAAAACTTAAGGTAAGAATTGTATAATCTTATGCTGACATGTGAGAAACAACTTCCTCTAAGATGAGTAAGAAAAGCATGGACTCTGGTAGTGTTAGTGTGGTCTGCCTTAATTTATTCTGTGGAGGTAGGGCAGTGGTGTGTATATGTGTGTGTATGGGGCAGCGGGGTAGTGAGGGAGATAGTTTTCTGGAACTGGAGAAGGTGACTTTGCAGGATTCCGGATTTCAGGTACTGCACTGGGCATGTTCATTCCCCATGGACAGTGGACAGGCATCACCATAGGCCTCTGTCACCAGCGTCAGGCCTGGGTCCTCCATCTCTGGAATAGAAAGGGATCTGGTGCCTACCTTCATCAAGTATATATGTCTGCTTTTTCTTCAGCAAGCTTACAATTTGGACATAAGTACACAAATACACAAAAATTTAACCCCCCTGGTTACCATTATTATTTGAGTAAACTTTTGTGACAAACAAGCAGGAAGTTGACGATTTCACATGCTGGTCAGGCTGTCTTTGGGGAGCTGTAAAATGCTTGTGGCCTGTGACCATGCTGTATTTGCTTCTGTCTCAATGAACTCTCCTTGGCCTTCTTGGACCTTTTATTCTCTGTGGTATTGAGGGGCGGAAGTTGACCACATGTTGGCACTGACTTGATGCATAGCCATTGGCTCATATTTGAACTTTGCCCCTCAAAGGAGAGCACTTTTAAGGTAAGGAACATTATAATAACAGATTGGTATTTTTTTTTAAGTGGACATTTATTTATTGCAGAAGTGGGATTACAACAAATGGATGGACTAATTAAATAGTGCAGGAACATAAGATAAAGTTAGCTTACTATCTCACATCAAAGTCAAAATTAGACTCCAGGTGGGGTCACCGAATGTGCAAGCCAAAACTATAAATGCTTTTTTTGTTTTTGTTTTGGATTTTATTTTATTTATTTTTTTATACAGCAGGTTCTTATTAGTCTTCCATTTTATACACACCAGTGTATACATGTCAATTCCAATCTCCCAATTCATCACACCCCCCACCCCCACCCCCGCTGCTTTCCACCCTTGGTGTCCATACATTTGTTCTCTACATCTGTGTCTCTATTTCTGCCCTGCAAACTGATTCATCTGTAACATTTTTCTAGGTTCCACATATATGTGTTAATTACGATATTTGTTCTTCTCTTTTGACTTCACTCTGTATGGCGGTCTCTAGATTCATCCACGTCTCTACAAATGACCCAGTTTCGTTCCTTTTTATGACTAATATTCCATTGCATAAATGTACCACATCTTCTTTATCCATTCTTCTGTCAATGGGCATTTAGGTTGCTTCCTTGACCTGGCTATTGTAAATAACGCAGCAATGAACATTGGGGTGCATGTGTCTTTTTGAATTATGGTTTTCCCTGGGTATATGCCCAGTAGTGGGATTGCTGGGTCATATGGTAATTCTATTTTTAGTTTTTTAAGGAACCTCCATACTGGTCTCCTTAGTGGCTGTATCAATTTACATTCCCACCAACAGTGCAAGAGGGTTTCCTTTCTCCACACCTTCTCCAGCATTTGTTGTTTGTAGATTTTCTGATGATGGCCATTATAACTGGTGTGAGGTGATACCTCACTGTAGTTTTGATTTGCATTTCTCTAATAATTAGTGATGTTGAGCAGCTTTTCATGTGCTTCTTGGCCATCTGTATGTCCTCTTTGGAGAAATGTCTATTTAGGTCTTCTGCCCATTTTTTGATTGGGTTTTTTGTTTTTTTAATATTGAGCTGCATGAGCTGTTTATATATTTTGGAGATTAATCCTTTGTCCATTGATTCATTTACAAATATTTTTTCCCATTCTGAGGGTTGTCTTTTTGTCTTGTTTGTAGTTTCCTTTGCTTTGCAAAAGCTTTTAAGTTTCATTAGGTCCCATTTTTTTATTTAGTTTTTATTTCCATTACTCTAGGAGGTGGATCTAAAAAGATCTTGCTGTGATTTATGTCAAAGAGTGTTCTTCCTATGTTTTCCTCTAAGAGTTTGACAGTGTCTGGTGTACATTTAGGTCTTTAATCCATTTTGAGTTTATTTTTGTGTATAGTGTTAGGGAGTGTTCTAATTTCGTTCTTTTACATGTAGCTGTCCAGTTTTCCCAGCACCACTTATTGAAGAGACTGTCTTTTCTCCATTGTATATCCTTGCCTCCTTTGTCATAGATTAGTTGACTGTAGGTGTGTGAGATTATCTCTGTGCTTTCTATCCTGTTCCATTGATCTATATCTGTTTTTGTGCCAGTACCATAATGTCTTGATTACTGTAGCTTTGTAGTATAGTCTGAAGTCAGGGAGTCTCATTCCTCCAGCTCCGTTTTTTCCCCTCAAGACTGCTTTGGCTATTCAGGGTCTTTTGTGTTTCCATACAAATTTAAAAATTTTTTGTTCTGGTTCTGTAAAAAGTGCCATTGGTAGTTTGATAGGGATTGCATTGAATCTGTAGATTGCTTTGGGTAGTATAGTCATTTTCACAATATTGATTCTTCCAATCCAAGAACATGGAATATCTCTCCATCTGTCAGTATCATCTTTAATTTCTTTCAGCAGTGTCTTATAGTTTTCTACATACAGGTCTTTTGTCTCCCTAGGTAGGTTTATTCCTAGGTATTTTATTCTTTTTGTTGCAGTGGTAAATGGGAGTGTTCCCTTAATTTCTCTTTCAGATTTTTCATCATTAGTGTATAGGAATGCAAGAGATTTCTGTGCATTAATTTTGTATCCTGCAACTTTACCAAATTCATTGATTAGCTCTAGTAGTTTTCTGGTGTCATCTTTAGGATTCTCTATGTATAGTATCATGTCATCTGCAAACAGTGATGGTTTTACTTCTTTTCCAATTTGTATTCCTTTTATTTCTTTTTCTTCTCTGATTGCTGTGGCTAGGACTTCCAAAACTGTGTTGAATAATAGTGGTGAGAGTGGACATCCTTGTCTTGTTCCTGATCTTAGAGGAAATGCTTTCAGTTTTTCACCATTGAGAATGATGTTTGCTGTGGGTTTGTCATATATGGCCTCTTTTATATTGAGGTAGGTTTGCTCTATGCCCAGTTTCTGGAGAGTTTTTATCATAAATCGCTGTTGAATTTTGTCAAAAGCTTTCTCTGCATCTATTGAGATGATCATATGGTTTTTATTCTTCAATTTGTTAATATGGTGTATCACATTGAGTGATTTGCGTATATTGAAGAATCCTTGCATCCCTGGGATAAATCCCACTTGATCATGGTGTATGATCCTTTTAATGTGTTGTTGGATTCTGTTTGCTAGTATTTTGTTGAGGATTTTTGCATCTATATTCATCAGTGATATTGGTCTGTAATTTTCTTTTTTTGTAGTATCTTTGTCTTGTTTTGGTATCAGGGTGCTGATGGCCTCATAGAATGAGTTTGGGAGTGTTCCTTCCTCCGCAATTTTTTGGAAGAGTTTGAGAACGATGGGTGTTAGCTCTTCTCTAAATGTTTGATAGAATTAACCTGTGAAGCCATCTGGTTCTAGACTTTTGTTTGTTGGAAGATTGTTAAACACAGCTTCAATTTCATTACTTGTGATTGGTCTGTTCATATTTTCTCTTTCTTCCTGGTTCAGTCTTGGAAGGTTATACCTTTCTAAGAATTTGTCCGTTTCTTCCAGGTTGTCCATTTTTCTGGCATAGAGTTTTTTGTAGTAACAGTTGTGATTTCTCCTTTTTCATTTCGAATTTTATTGATTTGAGTCCTCTCCCCCTTTTTCTTGATGAGTCTGGCTAATAGTTTATCAATTTTGTTTATCTTCTCAAAGAACCAGCTTTTAGTTTTATGATCTTTTCTGTTGTTTGCTTTGTTTCTATTTCATTTATTTCTGCTCTGAACTTTATGATTTCTTTCCTTCTGCTAACTTTGGGTTTTGTTCTTCTTTCCTTAGTTCCTTTAGGTGTAATTTTAGGTTGTTTCTTTGAGATTTTTCTTGTTTCTTGAGGTAGGCTTGCATAGCTATAAACTCCCCTCTTAGAAGTGCTTTTGCTGCATCCCATAGGTTTTGGATCATCGTGTTTTTATTGTCATTTGCCTCTAGGTATTTTTTGATTTCCTCTTTGATTTCTTCAGTGATCTCTTGGTTATTTAGTAATGTATTGTTTAGCCTCCGTGTGTTTGTGCTTTTTACGTTTTTTACCCTGTAATTGATTTCTAATCTCATAGTGTTGTGGTCAGAAAAGATGCTTGATATGATTTCAGTTTTCTTAAATTTACTGAGGCTTAATTCGTGACCCAGGATGTGATCTATCCTGGAGAATGTTCTGTGTGCACTTGAGAAGAAAGTTTAATCTGTGGGTTTGGGACGGAATGTCCTATAAATATCAATTAAATCTGTGTGGTCTATTGTGTCATTTAAAGCTTGTGTTTTCTTATTAATTTTCTGTTTAGATGATCTGTCCATTGGTGTAAGTGAGGTGTTAAAGTCCCCCACTATTATTGTGTTGCTGTCGATTTCCTCTTTTAGAGCTGTTAGCAGTTGCCTTATGTATTGAGGTGCTCCTCTGTTGGGTGCATATATATTTATAATTGTTATATGTTCTTCTTGGATTGATCCCTTGATCATTATGTAGTGTCCTTCCTTGTCTCTTGTGACATTCTCTATTTTAAAGTCTATTTTATCTGTTATGAGTATAGCTACTTCAGAGGATGGAATATCTTTTTCCATCCCCTCACTTTCATTCTGTATGTTTCCCTAGGTCTGAAGTGTGTCTCTTGTAGACAGCATATATATGGGTCTTGTTTTTGTATCCATTCAGCAAGCCTGTGTCTTTTGGTTGGAGCATTTATTTCATTTATGTTTAAGTAATTATTGATATGTATGTTCCTATACCATTTTCTTAATTGTTTTTGGTTTGCTTTTGTACGTCTTTTTCTTCTCCCACTTAGAGAAGCTCCTTTAGCATTTGTTGTAGAGCTGGTTTGGTGGTGCTGAATCGTCTTAGCTTTTGCTTGTCTGTAAAG